GTGCCATACCTTTTGTTCCCCCCCAAAAAAATTTATTTCAGAGACATAAGTGGTTTTCCTAGATATCATTTAAGAAATATATATAAAATAGAAATATCTTACCTTATGTTTTTTTTTTTGTTTTTGAAATATTAAATTTAAAGCACATTTTAATCAACATAATCATAGGCAGTATAATATGTGTAGTGGTTAAGAGTACTCTGGGGATTAGCTGTGTGACTTTGGGTATATTATTCTTCATTGCCTCAGTTTCTCCACTGCAAAATGAGGATAATAAAAGTAAAAATCTTTATGAGTTAGTGTTCTTAGAGAAACAGAACCAGTGGGAGATATAGATAGATATAAGTAGAAATACAGATTTTATATATAATATACATATAATATTGTTATATATATGTATGATATATAACAATATTTTTTATTTTATGTTTTTATATGGAAACATGATGATGAATTGGCTTACACAATTATGGAAGCCGAGAATTCCCACAATTTGCAGCCTGTAAACTAGAGACCCAGGAAGGCCAGTGATGTAATTCAGTTAAATCCAAAGGCCTGAGAACTAGGGTAGCCAATGGATTAAAATCCAGTCTGGGGGCCGGTGAAGATGACAGGTCCCACCTCAAGAAGGTGGACAAAGCAAAAAGGGCACATTCTTCCTTACTCTGCCTTTTGTTTGATTCAGGCCCTCAGTGGATTGGATGATGCCCATGCACATTGTAGGAGAGGGACAATTTACTTTACTGAGTCCACTGGTTCAAAGAATAATCTCCTCCAGAAACGCTATCACAGAAAAACCCAGAAATAATTTTTAACATGGACACCTATGACTGGTCAAATTGACACATAAAATTAACTGTCACATTATCTCATTTTCTGGTTGAATGGATTTAATAAATTACCATGGGAAAGTATAAAACTGCCTGGCACAAAGCCATCAATCACTCTGTAAGCCTTAGCTGCTGCTCTTGTTGAAGCAACAACATCATTGAAGATTTAATGGATAAGCTCCATGCTGGTTATCACCAAGGAGGTGGTAATGAATCCCTTAATAAAATTATTCATCTGTTTTACAGTCATGCCCATAATTTGTTTTGTAACAATAGATTTTATATTTTTAGAACATAGATTATATATAAAGGCTTTCTAGAAATAAGGTACAACTGTAACAGTATATAAGTACATAATGTGCCTCCCTTTTCTCCCCATTTTTGTATATTAATGTAGGAATTACAGTGGTCATTATAAGTAAATATCACCAATCTTTTTTGTGATTTAAAACTGGAGCAGAAGGAATATTGGATTTAGATGCATAAAACTTGAATTCAGTTCCAACCCTCTCACTCATCGGTTTGGGGTACTTGGTTAAGTCACTAATTCTCTGTTTCTTCATCTATACTGGGCAATTTTTTTTTTTTTTTTTTTTGGTCTGCTTCTTCTAGTTATATGAGAGAGGTGTGTTAAAAATCTCCAACTGTGATTGTGGACACTCCTGTTTCTCCTTTTACATCTCATATTTTTGCTTTATACTTGTAATTAGTTGCATTCAAATTTACCACAGCTTTATTCAGAGGTGTCCTGGTAAATGTTTAATAACTAGCCCTCCAGGGTGAAAAGAGAAACAATCCCTACTTGTAGTGTTAGCCAGTTTTCATGGTGTAAATGCTTGGACCATACCAATTCTGTGTTGTAACTTAGTGTCAACACGGTACATCTTTGTCCCTCTTTTTATTTTTAACTTTTCT